GAGCGAGAGACTTCGAGCGATGCTTAAAACTGTTATTAAATCTGATGTCTTTCAAGGTAAGATCTCAATCTCGGATTTTCACGACGTGCTCTTCGAGTCGATTCGTGTTCCGCCAATGAAGATCTGATCGCGAATGTTACTTTATACCCTAAAGTGCGGTCTTCGAAGCCGCGCTTTTTACCGATGTCTGGCTGCAATAAAACGTCGTAGGTATATATAAGCTTTCGTTGTCTTGATGGTCTCATTCATTAGTCATAATTGAACCCCCGTCTTCGAGTACTTGCTCGTACGTGTGTGTACCGAAGGAGAAAAATTGCAGAGAGAGAAAGGGACGTTAAAAAATAATGGCTCGCCCCGGTGAACCTTCCCTCTTCCTAGGCACGTGCGAAACTTTAATGACTCTCGATCGAAGCCGAAGGGGGGCCTCATCACAGGGTCCACTTGTGTGGCGTACCGCGCGCGAGATAATCCGTACTTCCGAAGGGCGAGAAGAGTCGATGGCCGCCAATCGACGCAATCGCGATTGGCACGCCGCTGAGAGGTCGGAAATTAGGTCTCCCGTATATCGTCGCGTGTGGCACGCGTGCTGCTGCCTCTTCTGGAGTGGCACGTGACAGGACGTACTGACTGCGTGCGTGTCAATAATGCGGTGCGCTTCTTAATCGGAGTTTTAAAATTGAAATGTGACGCATTCCTCTGTTTTTGATGCGACTTGTTACAGTGTTTCGACCGTGTGTTTGACTTTAATTTTTACAATTTTCACACGTGTCATCTGCAGTCATTTTTATTTGCGCGCCGCAAACGCTTTGTGCATATTTTAAAAATAAATCTATTTTTCAGCTGCACACTCGTGTGCATCACGATGATTTTATAAAAGTGCCAATAAATAACATACATATATTTGTTAAGCAACAACAATTTTCTGCGATATTAGAGTATATTGTTATAAGCTCGCGATCAATAAATCGCAATTTTTTACCGCGCTGACAATGACGTCCATCCAAACGTAACTGCCAATCCTGAGCAAATCAAATTGCCTTGCGCGTCACCCATATCATTTAATCGCGGCACGCGTACACCGTTTCGCGTCACTCGGATTAACTGACGGAAGATGCCGTCCACCGTGATCGACGTCGACACGCAGGAGTGGCTCGATCTTAACACAGGGACGATCGTGCGTTTAATTGCCATTTCACGAGCCATTCCGTCTTTCTTGATAAGCAAGTCCGCCCACCAGTCACGGACATTCGCACGCCATCGTTTACCCCCCGTAAAATAGCCAATTCATCCATCCCCATCTCTGTCTCTCTCTCTCGCTTTCTCTCTATTCTTCTCTTCCAGAACGTGTGATCAATGGTACCTTTCTCTCTTCGCGTTCAACCCTCTGCGCTCGTTCTGCCCTCGTCCCTGTTCGTCCCTTCTAGTGCTCTTTTCTCGCACGGCGAAAACGCTTTCCGGAGAAGTTCGATCTGCGAAGTTTGACGGGCGGGTCGTAACTTTGGACGCGTTCAATATTTTCGAATCGCGGCACTTCGCCGAGCGGCCTCCTCCGAAGAAACTTATATACGTGATTTGTTGAGACGGCTCTCGGGGATGGGGCGGTGGACCGGATAAATCGACTTCGGTCAATTTTTTAGCATTCGACGAACAATCGTAGCTCTCTCCGATTGTATCTCTCGGCACGGTGCCTCGCTGAAATATTGGCTGCCCCCGGTTATCGGGTTCCGTAAAGATTGTTATTAAATTCATGAGGTCAGATAGATCCGCGAATAGTCGTCCCGAATATGTATATACAATATTTACGAGACGACGAATGATGGCTTATATATAGTTGCGTATACAATTAATATTATATTTTTAATACCGGCGGTGGGCAAGAACCAAACGTCGAAATGCGGGTGAATGATTATTTACGTTAGACGCAAAGTACCATTTCGACACGGATGAATTCAACCGTTAGTGTACGTATCCCGTGGTACAAGTTTTTGTGCTCTACCGGCGCGGCTGCAGCGTGAAAGCCGATACATGTCCGCGGCTTGTATTTTGTATCGGCTTTCACGAATATCGGTGCGCCTCTCTCGTAGCTCGAAACTTGACGTTAACCGCAAATGGCTGGCAGATGCGAAGTTCCGTCGACGGGACGGAACAAAAGGAGCGGCGCGACGTAGAAAAGAACGAGGACGAATTTTCTACGGGCTAATGGGGCTCTCTCGTATTGCGTATCCTTTCGATCGAAACTTCTCACTGATCGTATCTCAAAGTATCGGCGAACGACGTTTTCTAAAGAAGAATCGGTTTCCGTAGATGTATTCAGCGATTTCCGGAGAAATGTACCGAGAGATATTTAACATTTACAAAAGTGTGCAAAGTTGTATATCGCGTCCCCAAAATAACTCTTCGATAGCTTTCTTTCGCGGTTAGAAAATATGTCGGATCTTTGTGGGGAAAATCCAAAGTCAAATTTAATCGCCGGCAGAGTCCTTATCCGAATCTTTCTCGCCGAACAATTATCCGGTCGTATGCATTTTTCCACGACGGCGTACAATAAATCTATCCGTTCGAAACGTCGCTAATCTGCCCCTGGGATCTTCAACTTTGCGCGACGTGCGATTGGAATCGAATGGCTAATTTTAGGAAAGCGATAACCGAGTAAGCCCGGGAGTTGATGGGAGTTACGGGACACACTCGGTCCGTTTAATTTTGGAGGCAATCAGAGAAAGAGGATAGGGATAGCACGGTGCCTCTATTTAACCGTCCGTCGATCCATCGCGCGTCCTTTCAGCTTCCTCCCGCTCTGTACACGTCACTTCATCCCTGTCTCTCTCTCTCTCTGCATCAGCTGGATGCCCATCCATCTGGTCTTCTCCCTCTCTCTCTCGCTCGCTCCGGTCAAGCGGCACGAATGAAACGCTCGGCAACATGACGTTAATTCGTTTCTACGGCAAGACGTATGATGCTTCCGATAATGGCCTGCTTCAGTATTGCATCCGTCCATTGGCAGTGTTGCTGTTGCTGTTATTGCTCTATATCTCTGACCTAAATTGCATACACCGGATGAGAGAGAGCGCGCTCGCGTGTGCTTCCATTCGTCGAAATCGATTGATATATCTCTCGCTCGATGATAATCGATCCCGGAACGAAGGGTAGGATAGCGATTTTACAATACGCATCCGAGTAAATGTTTTCCATGTTGCGAAGTAAAATATGTAATCGCGTGCGTGTTATATAACAAATACGAATATGAACGATAAAGTACTATACATCTACAAATATTTGTTAAATAACATTTTAAATGATTGGCCGGTTTATTCTAAATGTTATCATTTAACAAACATTTGTGATATCTGACGGCTAGCTTGCTTGCGACATATATATATATATATATATATATATATATATATCCATGACTAGAATTAAATAAATGAGGTATAAAGGGTGGTCCAGTGGTTGACATTGAGTGGCAAATGAATGCGCGGAGCCTGGAATAATTATCATATGTATTTCAATAAATGAGATTCACATGTGGTCGTTTAATCACATTTAAACGTAACGTAATTAGTTAGATTATTTGTTGTAGTGCTCTTTAAATTATATCATGTTGGAAATTTTCGATTCGAGCTGGGGGCACTGATGAACGATTTAAACAAATATTATATTTCGCATGAAATTTTATCGCTTGATTACGCAGGGGAATGTCTCTTTCCGTCTAATTTTCGGTGAAAAATCTCCACGAGCGAGAACGAGCGCGTTGCTTCATTAGAATGAATAAGTTATCCCCTTTTCCCGAGGGTAAATATTGATTTTTTCACGAATCGTTTAATCGTAGCAACGCACATTTTTTATTTGTCTTTGTTACGATTGAATGGGTGTATCCCAGCCTCTTGAATTACAGCCGCCGCGCCGGATGCACAACTACAATCGTTTATATTGAGTGGCATCAGGATACGGGCTCGTCTGATAATTACACTTTTAATTATACGGCCTGGTCCCGCATCGATAGCTCGTTGATATTGAAATCTCGAGGTCAAAGAAAACTTTCTAATTGATATCCGTGCGTAATTGTTGTTGCGCTCGCGTAAAAGGAAAGTAATCGAAAATCGATGACGTCGCGTCGACGCTTAGAAAACTAGAGTACTTGGAAAAGTTTTATGACACTTTTTTTTTATTTCATATTCTTCGTAAACGAGCAGTACAATGTATAACAAGTGCAACTTGCTTCGTAAAATATTATAACACGTTTCCCTTCACTCGATCCACTTATATAATCTGTTTTCTTTGATAAGTTTGCTCCCTCGCTATTGCATCGTCAGTGGCAATGCAGTTTATGTGCATGATCCGAATTGCATGCAGCGGATTCGAGATTGCTGCGATCGGCGCTGATTGCTCCGGAAATTTCTGCTTATTACACTCAGGATTTAGCGAGGCAGCCATTAATTTCACTTCTGCGAATGTTAAACGTAAATCGTTTCCTTGTACGAAGCGTTCGACGGAGGGAACGATTTATGGAGGAAGAAAGTTCAAGATGTATCTTGAAACACAAAAAGAACGAAAATTTTCTACTCACAATTGTCAACATTTTATTACGCTCGAATTCGACAATATCGGTTTTTTTTTTTTTATATTTTTTTAACACACTAATGGAAGGAGAAAACTCGATATAAAACAGCATTGCCGAGCTTCGCGAACAGACGGCCAACAGATAATTAACAGATAACAGAGGGACGTTTTTCCTTTTATAGACCAGGCCACAAAGTTAAGGGAGATTGCTCACAGTTGATTCGCTAATGATCGATCGGCATTGTTCATCGGGCTCGCGGTCAAAAGAAAACTTATTACGCTTATTAAAGCCGGTCCAGTTGCGGGTTGAGGAAGGGAGGGTTGTCGTCGACTGTTACAAAAGAGCAACGTCGACGGCTAATTAGATAGAATAAGGTAATTCCACTTTTCAAGCGATAGAACAAAAACTAATCCGAAACCCGTTCTCTGCTTTTCTTTTCCAGGTGCGGAAGATGTGTTCAGGTTTACGGGCAACGAGACGCACACAGATTACTTTCGGCTGGTGCTCAGGGACGGGAACTATCTCCTGGTCGGCGGAAGGTAAATAGAGGATTCATTTGGAGCGAGTGCTTTAATTAAAGGGCCGCTTCTTCTACTTCTTCTTATTCCTCTTTCCATCCTAGGTCCACTCTCGCCTCTTCTTCGTTTCCTCTTCGCCCTCACGCCTATCCATCTCCCGGCGTATCATTGCATCGCTGTCTTCTCAAGCGTGTGAGATCGACGACGATCTCAAGATAGATCGAAACGTGTAATCTCTCCTATATATTCCATGTAAACTCGTTTTATCGCGTAAATTGAATACTCTTTTCGCGGGTTGTCTCTTTTTTTTCCGATCCTGTTCTCGTGATTAAAGTCTGTGCGAAATTTAGTTAGTTGACATATTTCGTACACGTGGAAAATTAAATCTATCTTTGCCTCAAGATTGAAATAACATTTGATACCTGTATTTTAGAACATATGGAGCGTTGGCTTCTAACAGAGATAATGATTGTTTTATCGTATAGGAATTAATTATACATGTTATTTCCTCCTCCCTATAAAAAGCTTCTCCTTAAATAATTACGAATTTCCTGCTTGACAATATTGCTAATCGTATTATACACAAACTTTAAAATATATTATTAATTAATCGACGTCGTCTATACTAGTTCAAGTCCGTTAAAAATTTACTGCACAATATGTAACATAGAGAAATTAACGTGCATCAAAAACATATCTAAATATGTACTTGTATCTCGAAAAAAATGTATATTCGCGCGTTGTAGTTTATATGTTCTATTTATTGGAGAATAAAATAAATAATCAATTTATATATATATATATATATATACACGTTTGCAAATGATTGTATGGCGGCCTATTCGGTAATGAGATAATTAATCATGTCAAATATAATAATAGGCATCATATTATCGCGACTGTTGGGTCATGTTTAATTAGCTGAATTCAATTTTGAATCTTATTATTCGGAACAACATGCGAATAAAATATATTTTCTGACACAATTTCGTACAATTTTTTAAATAAAATTTTGCACAAAAATAAATATAATTGAGTCTGTTTAAGGGGCCAAACGTCAATAAATAATCGCATCAAAATCTGACCGATACAATGTCGAATAATTTCAGATACGATCGTAAATGTATAAATTATAAATGTGCATAAATGCGGTCTTTTTGATTCGTCATTAGGGGATGTATTCAGACGATTCGATTGTATATATACCCCCAATACCGATCGATTAACGTGCTTTTCTTCCTCTTTTTCCTCTCTCTCTCTCTTTCTCTCGGATTCTCGTGTATACAGGATAAATCTATTCACGTCTCGCGTACGCTGAATGCGCGCCGTTGAAATCAGTCGACGACGATAATCAGGTCGTACAGGGATTAATAAACGCATTGTGCGTGAATGAACTCTGATATATATCTCGTTCGTTATTGATCGGATTACGCTAATTGCTCGGCCGATTTGCCAGCTCCGCCGCCGTATCGATAGGAAAATTTGTTTCTTGCTCGTTATACATAATATGGGGTTACATTACGGTGTATAATCGCGGGATGCCTCGAATGATTATTCCGCGGTCGGCAAAAACCGCGATCTCTCGCGCGCAATAGCGAGCGCAGAGGAAGAGAGAGAGAGAGAGAGAGAGAGAGATTCTTCCCCTTTAAAGTGCTTCTAAGCATACGGTAGACTGCTTAACGAAGAAGAGTTAACGATCGACTGCCGAAACTTCAAGCGCCGCTTTCTCGGCTAAAGCTCAGCTAACCCAGCAGAGAATCTCGAACCTCTCCGTTCATGTCTACTTTAAGCATCTAACTTTGAAACTTGAAGAAAACCCTTTGCTCCATTCAGCGTATACGAGAGAATTCTATGCCTCCTTGATACTTGTTAATAATTCGAAAAGCACCAATGACGTCATTCGCTATTAGATTTAATTTGAAATTTAATATTTTGATAATTTGAAAAAAAAAAATCTTTTATATTTTCTTTCTTTTCATTAAAGATCTTGATTATAAAAGGAGATTTTTTACGATTAAATATAGAAAAGATTTTACAATTTATTTCTTCTTTGAGATTTTCATAAATTATACATAAGAATGTCTTTCGATAAAAACATTCACTCATTTGGCAAAAGTTTTCTAGGATTGATTCGAGAAATTGGATGATTTTTCGTTTCAGGAATCTTGTACATAATCTCAGTTTGACCGATCTGACGGAGCAACAGAGGCTGACCTGGTACTCGACGGAGAACGACGTGAAGATGTGCGTTGTGAAGGGCACACCCGAAGAAAATTGCCAGAATTACATTCGGATTTTAGTGAAGACCGGGTCGAGCAATTTGTTCGTGTGCGCCACGAACGCCTTCAAGCCTATGTGCCGCGATTACACAGTGCACGCGGGTAACTACACGATGATGAAGGAGAAGGGTGGTCAGGCGAGGTGCCCGTACGATCCTCAGCACAACAGCACCTTCGTCTACGTAGACGGCGAGCTCTACACCGGCACGGTCGCCGATTTTGCCGGTATGGATCCGATCATCTATAGAGAGCCGCTGCAGACCGAGCAGTACGATTCGATGAGTCTGAACGGTGAGTGAGAAAGCTAATTCAATCGTCAATTCTCGTTGCCCGTGATTGATGACGCTTAATGATCGCGTACCCGCTGATTTACATTGAAAGTCGGCGGTTAACTCTGATATCGCAACTCTGGATATCAATTTTCATTTTCCCAGCGCGCTTTTGCCATTAATTCGACATGGCGACAAGTGCGCGGTTCGTCAAGTCGATAGTTAATGATCGCAACTCTGGATATTAATTTTCATCGAGGCAAACTGTAGACTATCATTAAACAACAAAGTACATAGAAAATGTATAGAATCGTGCTTAAAATAGAGAGAGAGAGTTTAATCATTTCTGACGTTACTTTACGCAAGTAAGATTTATTTCGGGAAGTGTTTATAGAACACAAAGTGTTTATTTCCAGGCGCAAATTTATTTTACTTATTTATCATATTTTCTTCGTTGCAACTTCTAAAATAAGGTATCTAGGGCAGAACAACTTTATATATATATATATACAGCGATCTTAAAGATCAGACGTAAGGTCAGACCACAATTGGATCGTGGCTAATCTAAAGAAATGAAAACCAGAGCGAGATCATTTAAATATTAAACCGATTGCAAAAGCAAATGAAACCCCGCACAAAATGTTTTCAACACGCGCAACCTGCATTTCACAATCAGTTTGTTGTTCGAATGCCTATTAAGGCGAGCATTACATCTCATTATCATCACACGCGACTTTAACCACGTCGTTTTATCGCGCTCACCAACTTCCGGAATTATCGTCGTATCAATATAACGACACGACATAATTGTTATCGACCTCGGTGCACCGCCGTCAAAATGTGATACCTCCCGACCGGAAGGTAAACGCGCGTCTGAATGTTTGAGAGTCACGCGGCGGCTCCCGCATAATACATATCCGTGTCCATTAAAGTTCAACTGGGAGTTCGATTCAATATTTACACGCCAAGTTTCGGCTTCCGGGTCAACTTTGAAAATCCAGCGTGTGCGCTCCGCGAAATTATTCAGAAATGTCATGCGATTGAATCGCGAGACCGAGGGCGACCCTTTCTACTCCCTCACCTCCGGTAATGTCTCTAATCCACACGGTGTAATTCCGAGATTAACCGCGCGTGTTCCCTAAGCTCTCTCCCACCGTGCTTGGCCCCAAGATTATTTCATGGGTCTTGCGAGCTCTAGATAACGAAGGCGCAGCAGCTCCTTGCCGTGTCCACCGGCTCGAAATTTACCTGGAGATATTGTAATACGCCTCCGTTGCATCGTAATACGGATATTGTGTGGTGCATGAGAGATCGGTCGCCTCTTTATATAGAATATTCTTCTGAATATTAAATAGATAATAGAATATGACAGATGGATGCTTCAATTTCTCAAATTTATGCGCGAATATATATTTTTAATTTCGGCATATCGTGCGGTTTCCGTACGCGATTTTCTCTTTCATTAAACTGAAACACGATTTTAATTAACGCTGTAGACGTTCTAGATTTTTTTCGTGCTTCCCCTGCAAGATCGCGCTGATATGATTTTTACGGTTATTCCATGCGTCTTTGTTCGCTCGACGTTCAGAGTTCATATATTCGCGCAGACCCATATTCGAGAACCCCCTTCCCTTCTCTTTGTGGATTTAATAAATTAAAAACTAGTTTTCTCGGCGTTATGTACCACGGTGTATTATACGAAAATTCAAACTTCAGAAGAGCGCCGTCTTCTTGTCGTCGTGGCGTTAAAATTGATACGTCACTTTGCTCGAGGCGTAGACGACGGGGGGTTGGGTTCTACTAGGAGTAGGGGGTTCGCTAGGGTATTTTAATTGAACGGTGTACGAGAGCTCTAATCAAGTTTCTCCACCCGTTGGACAATATTGATTTTCTCTCCGTCCGTCGAAAATTCAATTCTATCCCGCCGCTCGTCCTATCCACCTCGTTGTCGTTCCTCCGACAAATCGCGAATCGAAAATCTCCGGACGATTGGCTTCGGACGAAGGGAAGGGCGAGTCTGACGTGCACGTGACATCTAGAAGAGCATTTTTCTAATCGGACGAAAAAAAAATGAAAAAGAAAATCGGAAAGTGTTTCCTTTTTCGAGAAGGATGGATCCCCTACCGCGAATTTTCTACGACACTTTGTCTCTCGACGGTGGCGCGCAGTTAAATGCGACATGGGTCGCAAGGCGGAAAGGAAGGCGCTGCGCGACAGATAGAAAGAGCCAGAGGGAAGCTAAGAGAGAGAGAGCCTCCTCTCTCGCGCGCCAACGGGTTGGGGTAAAACGAGGAGAATTTATGGGGCGGAGAGCGACGGGTCGTTCGGATATACCTACGTGGCACGGCGAGATTAATATTACTTTATGAATCCTAAGAAGCTTATGAAAACCCTGTCAAGTTAATAAATCGATAAAGTTTTCTCACTTTATCGGGCGGCCGACCGAGACGGCGGAACCGCGACGTGGCGACGCTTTACCGGGCGACGGCGTTGAAATAACCCGAGAGAGAAAATAAAAGGGCTCTTTATATAGGGTACGCGCGCAGCCGGCTTATTGGCGATGGAAGTTGCCCTGTACTGGGTGTCGCGGGTGTACGATACCCTGCAACGACGAAGAAACTCTTTCTTTCGATTCCGCTCCTCTTCGTTATTTTCATCACCCAGATGGAGCAGGAATGGATCGGCGTACAAGTGTGTTGTTGTTCTCTCGAAACATTCATAACGGACACTAATACGTCGTTTGTCAACGGGAATGTCTTGATGCGTTTATAAACCGTCGTATAATTACGTTCAATTAATTATACCGACGATTATGTCGAAATTAATTGTACAATCAGGGTAAGCATTTGTTAACATAAATAACCCTGGTCCTAGCGTCGTCATTAACTTCTCTCGGAGCCATACTCTCTCTCTTTAGAGAGAATTAATGTTCGCCGCAATCTCCAGTGGAAATGGGAGTTTTTAAATAAATCGCGTCGAGATTTCCTCCCCCTTATTTTCAGGATACTGTATGAGCGTTGTCTGCTTTATTACACGCCATCGATTGCGTTCCAGTAGGTGGTTATTACGCTCATTTATTTATAAAGGGAATTTATGGGGCCATTTACTATCTCCCTACTACCGCAATAGTAGTTAGTAATAATGGCTACATATTCTAATTGCAGCACCGAACTTTGTGAGCTCCATGTCCCAAGGAGATTTCGTCTACTTCTTCTTTAGGGAGACCGCTGTAGAATATATCAATTGCGGCAAGGTAAGAAATCGTCGGCGATTAATAATCCTTTTCTATACGTTTTGTTTTCAAATTCCAGTTTCAGCTTTTATATATAGAACACGAGCTATTATTATTTATTATCGAAAGCTATATGTATGTATCTGCACACATCCTTGACGATGGTCGAAATTTGGACGATAAAAGTCCCCATCGCGATATTTTGCTCGGCGAATTAGCGTACGGTCAGCGGATAACAATGGAGTAGAAGAATCGCGTCGCGCGGATAAGATTAACTTTGGCGTCGGAGTCGGATAATACGCACAAAAGTTTCGCGAAAGTTTCGTAACCGCTCGCTGTTATTCTCTTCCTCGGTCGATTTTTAACGTCCGAGTAAGACGATTACGCTTCTTTCGCCCGTCGTTTCGCATTGAAAATTGGCTTTTAGAGGCGCGTCACTTCCGCACTTACACACAGACGTATATTCTTTCTCGTACGGCGGAAAGTTGCGGGACTCATCGTAGCTTAAGTCATCAAGCTCGACTTATTGTCAAAGGCTGCTTGCGCGCGAGCTTTTCCATACCTCTCTGATAACGACGCATAATTTTATGACGAGCGAAAGATTAATCCCGGACGGATCTCAAAGCGGAGAAAAAGTTGGAACGCGGCATTACTAGGTAAAGATTGCGATTCTCCTCTCCCGGGGAACTATCTTATGCGATTCGGAGAATAAATTTATAATCTCTCGGCGATAAATTCATAATTTATTCCAACATCGAAATCGTGGAAACGCTCGCGCATTCTTTTTTTTTTTATGTTTATGTATCTCTCGCGAATTCTATTTTTAATTAAAGGTGCACGGGATAAATTCTCTCCTTTAAACCGCGTTCGTTTTTAGCTCTTTTACGTGACTTCGCGAATAGATATATATATATATTTTTTTTGTTTTTGAAGTTTTGGATGTGAAGAATATTTTGTTTGTTTTGCAACCTTTCACGCAATCTTTTGTGCCGCTTGGAACGTGCGTGTCACTTTAATAGCGCGCGTAAAAAGCTAAAACTAGTTTGCCCTCGTTTGTCCGTTTCTCTTGTGACGCGTATATATATATTTTTTTTTTTTATTTTTTTTAGAAATAAAATTTCCTTATTTCACACTCTGCACAGTAAAATTTATTATACGAGCGGCAATTTTCACATTCGCAGGCCGTCTACTCTCGCGTGGCGCGAGTCTGTAAATACGACCGGGGTGGACCGCATCGTTTCCGTAACAGGTGGACCTCCTTCCTCAAGTCGCGGCTCAATTGCTCCGTTACTGGGGACTTTCCATTTTACTTTAACGAGATACGTAAGTAAACATGTGTACGTTCGCGCAACGAAGCATGTACTTTTTTACTTTATCGTTCGCTCTATCTGAATCCTAATTTTTTATGCATACTTTTGAATCGTAATAAATTGATAAATATGCTCGACATTTCAAAATCATTGATATCTTTTCATTCATACACTTTCTTTTACTAATTGTAAATTATGTATTTGATTTGCTTAAACTTGTTTCACGAAGCCTTTTAATTTTCATATCCGATAATTTAACAATTGTCTATATTGATTGTATTTTAGAATTTTCCATTCTTTATTTCAGAATTCTTAATTGAGAAATTTATATCGATGTTTGTTTTAATAGAAATGCGCTATCTTTGAAAACCTATTTGCACACAGAGAGAATTTTCTCTTAGAATTTATCCCAAAATTCATGATAATCGTGGGACAATATGATATTGGAAGAATTTTATAAGAGTTTCATTGAATAATATTTAGCACAATCAATTTTACTAAAATATATGTACATAGCAAAATTTTAATAATTTTAAAATATATTAAAAACTTATGATTCTTTGAGTGTTTTAAGTAGAATAAATGTCAAGAAAGTGATAAACATATTTTATATAAATTGAACAATGCAGCATAATTCTGCTGTAAAATATAACGAAGAATTCTCTCCTCCGTGTATTTGCGCGCGATGGATTAAACTTCCTAGATTGCCTATCCGCGAGAATACGTTCTTCCCCAAGTAATTTGAAGCGTATCTCGACTGCAGAGTCAACGACCGAGCTAATATCGGGCCAATACGGCGGCACATCGGCGCAACTCATCTACGGCACCTTTACGACGCCGGTGAACAGCATAAGCGGTTCGGCGGTGTGCGCCTTCTCCCTGCAGGATATCGCCGACACCTTCGCCGGCAATTTCAAGGAACAAGGTGCATTAAATTCCAACTGGTTACCGGTGCAAGATACGAAGGTACCGGATCCGCGACCAGGACAATGCACCAATGACTCGCGCACGCTGCCGGATCTGACACTCAACTTCATCAACACGCATTCGCTGATGGACGAATCGGTGCCGAGCTTTTTCGGCCAGCCGATCGTCATACGCACCAGTTTCCAGTACGTGAAAAAAATCGTAGATTGTAGACGTTTTTAAGTATTCTTCATGTTTCTCGCGTACAGCAAAATGCATCATTACATGTATAAATTACTTCGCTTATTAAATTGCGTCAATTTATGATCGTTAACATGTTTTCGATTTTAGTTATAGATTCACCCAGATCGCCGTGGATCCTCAAGTGAAGACTCCGGGCGGCAAGACCTACGACGTTCTCTTCATCGGCACGGACAACGGCAAGGTGATCAAGGCGGTGAACGCCGAGTCCGCGGATTCTCATCAGAAAGTCAGTCCGGTCGTGATCGAGGAGATCCAAGCTTTCCCGCAAACGGTGCCGGTTCGCGGCATCAAGGTGGTGCGAGCCTCCCAGGCGGGCGACGGTCTCGAGGACGGTCGATTGGTCGTCATCGCCGACAGTCAGGTGCAGGCGCTGAGACTCCATCGATGCTACAGCGACAGGATATTGTCCTGCAGCGAGTGCGTCGCTCTTCAAGATCCGTATTGCGCCTGGGATAAGGTGGAGGGCAAATGTAGGGCGTTGGTCGGCCCGGCGTCAACGGACGCCAGCAGATTCCTGCAGAGTGTCGCGACGGGGACGCACGCATCTTGTCCACCGAGCAAGAGTCTCAACAAGGACGCCGGAAGCGTCGGTGCTATATCCGCTAATCAGAACAAGTTTCCGCAAGACTCGATACCGAACAAAGATAATCCGGGCGGCGAAATTATCAATATCATGCAGGACGAGGAACAGGACAATTCAGGTATTTTTGGGCGATGGACTTGTATGTGAATTGATATTTCTCTTTCTTATATATTTGAATTCATATTCCATTATTCGCAGGTCCGGAAGTATCCGCAGCTGATACACCTCCTCCACAATACTCCGTAGAGACTCTGGTAATGGCTGTGGTAGCCGGTGCACTGGCCGCGTTGTTCGTTGGTTTCGTAGCCGGTTATTTGTGTGGGAGAAAGTGCAGAAAAGACGAGGACGACAATCTACCTTATCCGGACACGGAATACGAATACTTTGAGCAACGGCAAAACGTGAATAGGTAGGATATTCATTTCAATGTTAAAGGAACGGGACTCTACGGATGAATACTCTTTCAATTTGCCGCTCTTAGTAATGTTTGTCTATCCACCTTCAGCAGGCTGGCGCCCGAGCCAAAGCTGTTACCGCAGGAGGAGGTGACCTATGCGGAACCGGTGCTGGTTCCGCAACCGCCGAAGCTTCAATCTCCGAAAGGTACGATGAGGAAACCACCGCCCACACCCACGGAGACTCTCTTCCAGTTCCCAGATGGTTATGGTTTCCGCGGGGGACCGCGTGGCGACAATTTCGGCACCCTGCGCTCCCATCAGGGTGACGCGTATCGTCGCAACGATGGCTTTGCGACCACGCGCAGCGTCAAGAAGGTTTATCTCTGAGAAACGAGCGAGGAGGGGGGTGGCCGTCACCGGAGTCTAGGACGGCCAGCGCGCAATCGCCACAACGCGACGACGGGCAGCAGAAGTAGTCGCGCTGTGACGTCCGGGGGACAGTCGAATCGTGAGCTCGCCGGGCCGAGGGCACTGGAATCGCCCTCGCCATCGTCGAGCGTATCATCGAGTTCCCCGTCCCCTCCCTCCTCGTCACCCTCGCCCACCCTCGTACCGATTGCCATGAGCGGCCAACAGCCACCGCCGCCACCAACACCACCATGCAGTTTCATCTATCGATCATAGTCATCGTCGTCATCGTCGTCGTCGCCGCCGATATCGTCGTCGTCGTCGTCATCATCATTGTCATCGCCGTCGTCATCACGATGGTCGTCGTACTCTGCTTTCTGCTCGATGACGCGAGGGGATGAGAGAGAGAAAGCGCTCTACAGTCCTAGCGCGTTATTCCGAAATATATAAATTGAATAATCGAAAGAATAATCTCCTGGCCAGAAATATCGCAATACTTCAATGGATGTCGCAGTATTTTTTTTAATTTTTTTTTAAATTTAAAAAAATTTTTTTTTTTTTTTTTTTGTATCTTGAAGGTTTTTGTTTTGCTTGTGGTTTTTATTTTGACATACTAATGTTGCTTTGATGGTAACGATAAGTTAGAACGTTGGAATTTCGCGTCGATCGAGTCTAGATGTTACCGTTCGTTTGCATAACAAAAATCGATCAAGGAAATTATCTTTTACAAATTGATTGCTTATCGCATTGGAAAACATCGAGTCGAGCAACCGTGCATAGGGCAGTTTATTTTCGCCCATTTACAAATCCATCACAGCGTCATAATACAGCATTTCATAATTCTAGAAACGACATTCCAACCGGAAATGTTTCGGTAGACATTACGTTTGATCAGTAGCTTGATTATCTCGTGCACGTTGAAGACTAAAATAAGGCGAGCGTAAACATTTTAGCATAGCGGTTGTCGGTTATCGTAGATCTTTAGCACTAATTCGCAAAAGAATGAAGAATAAAGTAAGTAGAATAAAGAAAAAAAAGAAGAAAGAAATTATCGATGCTCGAACGTGTAAAAGCTCGAGCAAACTTTGGTGATTAGGCTCGATTGACAAAATAGTGCGAACGTTATGCGACGGTTCGCAAAACAAAATGTCGTAATCTCCACTATTTTAGTAATTGACAGTATCAAAGTCGATAAGTGTAAAGCTACACAACATAGTACTACGATGAGGCTTTTTTCATAAAGTCAATTAAAGGAGACTATCCGCAAGCTCGAAACACGCAATTTTTCTAATGTTGTAATATTTAATACGAGTGATTGATAGTGCCATTATAGATCACGTAACACTTCTGCGTGCCTCGAAATTAAAGACGATCATGACGATTATCGACGTTGTTGGCCAAATGTTTTTCACGATTGGCCAAATGGATCAATGCATTTAATTAATTGTACATAATAACGTCTCTGTCTTTATACTTGTTTTTTTATTTGTCTTATTTTATTGTATTTTATTAGTAATATATTTAATTATAAATATATTGATATTATAATATATTGATATATTTAATATATATTGACAAATCGTATAGGAGACCGTTTACATCATAAAATTACATTTGAATTATTAGATTCAGTTTTACAATGGTTTTATGCGATTTTTAAAAGCGTTAATAAAAATTCATCATTTTTTCAACATAATTTATTCTTTTTAGTGTTCTTTCCCTTAATTTCGTGATATTTTGTTATCACATTATGCAGAAATCTGAATCATAAAATCGTGGAGATTGCTATATTGCGTGAATTATGGATGCGTTAACTGATGTATCCAACGATAGCAGTCAACAGATACAGACTATGTTGCTGCTGTCTATAGATACGTTAAAATAGTCGTCGGAAAACGATACTAATTTCTAGTTTCTCGTATGTGAATGTCGGTTCATCTAGTTCTATGTACGCTTCGGAGACGCGCGTTCTCAACGCCTGCACATATACGTAATAGAGAGCGAGAGAGAAAGAAAGAGCGAGCGAGCGAGCGCGAGAGAGAGAGAGACAGAGAGAGAGAGAGAGAGAGAGAGAGAGAATGAAAGAAAAAGTGAGAGGCACAGCGCTTATATGTACATAATACATATATACAAAGCATACATCAATTAGGAGTTAAAAGAAAAAGAGAATGGAAACGAAAAAACGAAAAATCAGTCCATCTAACCTGGGCCCGATGGTGTAAGTAGACATCTATCTTAAAGTGCTTCTTATTTCGGTGTGTTTAGAAATAAACGTGTATGTGATATATTCTATATGACGAGATGCTTTCCATGCATCCGGAAAATGGGAGAGACGTGGAGAGGGTTTTTAACTCAGGGGACTCTCTCGACGGATCTGAGACGAGACAGGCGCACGTGGTGATAAAACTCACGGTCTTTTGTTCACAAGAATTCGTCGTTGTGCTTTGTAAATATATATTTTCCTTTTTTTTTGTACGATTTCTCGTATCTACTTTATTACGCATAATATAACACGGTATATCGAAGCTCTCGTTGATTCCTGACATCTCTCGGTCTCCCGCAATTCCACGGTGTCGCGAAAAATCTCTACATTCCAGCAGATTGTCTTTCATCGCTCATCGTGGAATTTTGTGAATAATCGAACTTGAACTCTGACACGCACACAGTACACACAAGTACACGGATACAGGTTGTAAAATTTTTGTACATCCTACTACTGTTTTGTCTTTACTAATCATTTTCGTTTAATTCGTTGATTTAATGTTAAAATATATCTTGAGAACTCGTCGAAAATTACCCCTCAAACCGTAAGACTGAACAAATCCCCCAACGGCGAATCTCTCGATATATTTCTCCTCTTCTTACAAGTTTTATACAATGAACGAGAAACATTTTTGTTCTTGCATACAAACAGTTTGATCAAACTTTTTTAAGTGTTTCCCGTTTCCAAGCACAAATTATTCTTTATTACGCTTCGTCAAGAAGCTAACGAAAATTTATCAAAAGTCGCGAAAAGCGAATTGTTGAAGCTCTCAGCTGCTCTAATAAACTATAATATTCTTTCAGCGCGAAATAAAACGATGATGCGAACATATTTATCTCATTGTTCTAATGACTGTGAAACAATGCATAATTGTTGGAATATCTATGTAAACTGCCACGTGGTACATTGTAATCGTAGGATAAACCCGATACTTTGTGCTTGAAACAAGTAGCGATAACAGGAACATGACTCTCAAACACTCAAAACAAAACACTCCCATGTGGTTTTTTTCCACGTGGTTCGATGCTGCCATATAATCGACCCGACACTCATTGTCGTCTCGCAGATACGTTTAATTATCCCTCGGGAGCTATAAGTAGCGTTTCTAATGGCTTATTTCGCATCGTTCGAACGATATAAATTTTTTCTAAGTTTGATACGATACGACACGTACCGAATAAGGGGTTTTAACAATTGTTTAGTGATTTTTTCGTAAACGGAAGACTCAGGCATGATACCAAAGATATTAATTGTAAACTAAAACATCGTTGGTCACACATTGTGATGGTTAATCGTTAGAGAAGGCGCACAAAACGGTATTCATTAACGATAGGAAGGTGGCCCTCTTGCACATATGTAGACTCGACTTACACAGTTATTACAAGAACTCACGCGCACTCGTACGCGAAGCTGACACAAGAGAGGCACACGTGTAAGGATGTTCACCTTATTAGCGAGTTTTAATAACGTTGATGACACACTAGTTGGGAGACACTCGCGATATTAAGATCGTAGAATTCTACTAAACGTTGGAATCAAGTAATGCATGAAAAACAGAGCGTTCGTGCACCACGAAATATTTTTCAAGAGAGAACGAGAGGAAGAGTATGTATGTATGTGTACATGCGTGAGTGAAAGAATAGATGACAGAGAGAGAGAGAGAGAGAAAGATAATGAGAGGTGTAGCGGTAGCTCGGTGTTCAAAAAATAAAAAGTCAGAAGTCTAATAAGCTTACGATATTACTATCAAGCGTTGATGCTTTAATAAAAGAAAAATAAGTAAAAAAAAAACGAAGATTTGTATAAACGTGTTCAAGGAGCTCGTAAGGAAAAAAAAACGTTCATGTTGTTTAAGCCAATAAGGAACGGATTCCATCCAAGACAATGACGCGATTCCAATGAAGTCGATTAGAGGCGATTCTCGACTCACGAGATGTAAATGAGTTCGTTTGTTCGGCATTGTTATAACGAGGACGTGTAAAGAACGTTGTTCGATTATAAGCTTCACGTGATTTTTACGTTTAAACGAATATCGCGGAAGACGTAATGATGTGTGTTTCATGCATTATTTAATTTCAATCCCTCGAATCCGAGTTATTTGTCTGTATATTTAACGGAAACGAGTTTAGCCAGTTACTTATGATAAATTGCGAAAGAGAGAAATGAATCTTAGAAAAGCGCAAGATATCTTCTTGATTAAAGAGGGAGGTCGGATAAAAGATTAAGTATGTATGAGATTCTCGCGCGAGATGTGGAAAAGCTTAGAGATAAGTAGAAGATTAGTAATGGTACACACATACGTATAAATATATAAATATATAAATAAATATAAATAAATAAATAAATGAATATATATATATATATATATATAAATAAATATATATATAGAACGCTTGAAACGTATATAAATATTAATGATATTATAACTTTTTATAAATATATTTTTCCGTCGAAGTCTAGCCTAGTTGATACATACACAGTTACGACTATTAATTTATCCGATCTGATTATTATCGAGATCTAGCGTTAATTCGAACATCTTAGGCGTCATAGTTTTACATGATAGGCGAGTTGTACGAATTGTAAGTCACTTAATGAGAGAAAGAAAGAACGAGAGAGAAAGAGAAAGAGCGCAGGAGAGAATTAGTACCTAATGTTAAACAAATTTACTACTAGCGTTGAATATCCGAAACGGGAGTCTTCTTCTCTTTGCGGTCATCTCTCCCCCCTCCCTTTCCTCCTTTCTCCGTCATCCCCAAATCTCCAAAGCCGTCGGAGGATTTCGCCGATCAGACGTTCCATTTAAAGTGTAGCATACCATAAGAGAACCGAAGAGTATATATATACATATAAAATATATATAGATTATGTGTATATGTAAAAGTCGAGAGAAAAAAAAGAGAGGACATTGTATTTTTCGAAATTCGCGTTTCAACGAAAACTCCATTACGCCACAACGGCCAGAGAAAATCTCGCGACTGTTAATCATTAAAAAAACGCGACGACCGACCGCGGAGGAATGGAAGACTCCCGTTTCGCGCTTTGTAATTAAGTGAGAAGGAGAGGAAGAATCGATGAAAAAAAAAGGGCGATGAGGGGGATGACTGTATTCATCGTTCCCACCCCCCTCCCACTCCCGGCGTGCGTTCACACAAGTTTGACAAGCGTGAGATAGAAGAGTGTCGATGTTTTTTCCAAAGGGGAATGATGTACGGGACGCGCCGGGCCCACCCACCCCCACACGATATTGTAAAATGAGCGAGCACTAATAATAATGATACTAATAATAATAATTAATAATAATAACGATAACAATATGATAATTAATACTTAAGAATAATCATAATGATGTAATAACAATATTGCGATACCAGAAGATTTTTAAAGAAAAAAAAACACTATAGCATTTATCAACGATAAAATAACGAGAATGTAACATGTATTTTGCTTCTTCCTAATACAGTGCCGTTTACGCTATTTTTTACTGTAACTAATTAGAAGCTCGGCGTGCGAGGTGTGCGTCCCGAATACGCTACTTTAAAAAAAAAAAGCCGGTCTGTATATTTAATCGGCCATGTGTATCCTTAAAGTAACCGTTCGTGGAAAAGCGCCCAAATGCGACTCTGGTACACCATATCGTTTTCGTCGATGACGATATCGGCGAAGAGAAGGGTTCTTTAGATCATGCATCAGCAAGAGCGAAAAGAAACACCGCGAAGTGTGTTTGTAACATGTGTGTGTCGCCTAACTTGGATCGAGATACTCGCGATTTCCCATTTGTTCAAGATCAAGTCGTTCGACTTGTCTCCAAGCAAAGTCCGGCTAGGATCTCGTGAGCGTCACGATCGCGATCCGATCGTATGTTATTACTCTTGTATTACTCGTTATAGACGTGCTCACACGTCGTGTCGTTCGCGAGACCGATGATGCTGAAATTTTGCGAGAATTTTGCAAAATTGACGCGACACGAGACTTGACGAAGATCGGCGAGTCACGATTAAGAAAACGAAAGACGTAGACTGTATATTAAAATGCTCTTCAATCAAGATAGCGCAGTTATCACTCTACGCACTTCTGCACGCGACATATATATGGATACAAGCACACGACGTACACGTCAATTGATCCGATCAGCATCAGTTATGTCTCATTGTCAGCGAAAATATATATAAAATCGTGTAACACGATCGTATGGCGTATCAACGTGATCCAAGGAAGTGAATTCAATGTTGATTTGTCGACATAATTAAAATGATTATTCGGCAAATTTGTCATAGATGCGAAAGAAAGGAAACATCCTGCGAGAAAGAAAGAAATCCCTTTCTATCTGCGACGAGCTAATCCAACATTGACAGATGAGGGCGAATGACAGCTCTTTGGTCACGTGGAGTAGCCGCACATCGCGGACCAGAGTCGCAATTTGGGAAGATTCTTCGACTTAATTAATCGGGCACGGTTGTGTGTGCGTGTGTGTGATAGGTATGTATGTGTGTGTGTGTGTCTCCGCCGTACTTATAAATCACATTTTTCGAACACGGAAGATCGGAGCAACCACCATTAATCGATCGCAGACACTTATTCTGTGTAGCACACAGCAGCGTGACGATTCATTCATTCATTCATTCATTCGTTCGTTCGTTCGTTCGTACGTTCGCGTGCTTCAAGGTAACGTTTTTCTCGAGGCCGGTTTTGCACGAACGAAGTTTCTTACCCGATGGATTAAGAAGGGAAGAAAGAGAAAAAAGGCGAAGGGAGAGCGATACTAAATAATTACGCGATATTGCATTAATAATGAAGGTATAATATTGCCGATAATTATATTGTAACGACACACGAAGGGATGATGATATATTAATAATACAATACTATTTATAAATTGCGAGAGAAGAAAGACAGAGAAAGATAGTCGGAGGATATCCGGCGAGAGAAGAGGAAGCGTGCGAGAAGGTTGAAGGAGGAGAAAGGAGACGGAAGTATGTGAGAGGAGATAAGTAGTTTGGCAGTAGGCTGATGGTAGAGACACGGCACGTCTAATATTAACGAACAAAAAAAATAATTAAAAAAAGTAAAGTATAAAATATATCATAAACGCGAAAAAGGTACAGTAGAGGTTTACTATTGGCTGACACGTAGTGTGAATGCTGATATAGGAAAAGCATGCTGGCGAAGGGGAGCTTTTGTCGATTTTTCTGTGACGGTTCTGGGGATGGTTAGACGTCGCGCGAGATTTCGCGGGACACTTTGGATGATGGTGAGTTTTGGGTGCGCGTGCACGTGTTGTTGAATCACGGTTCGTTTTGCAAGGGAATTATATTGGGAATGAACGAAAGCGAGGCTTTCTTTCCGCACGACTTTTCGCTCGTGTCCGCGAGCTGGATATTTCTTTTCTTTTCCTGCACTCTCGATATTTCCTTTTGTTTGACTCATTAGAACTCATCGTACTCGTATAGTTACCTTTTACTATATTTTTATACTTTGCGACGCGATGGTTTTTCTTCTACATTCTTCGTGTAAGAGTTATCGTTTTTTAAGTTTGCGCGAAATACAAATTTATAGACTGGAATTATTAATATCGAATCGGTAGGTTTACAGAGAAGCGCACGGTGCGGATGAGATCGATGAGGGAAAAAAACGCGAGACTGCCAGAGAGGGAGAGAACGAGAGAGCAAGATTAAGGAAGGAAAAGGGTGAGAATGGAGCGAGTACTTGCGAAGGAATAATAGACGGGGGACAGGGAGAAGTGTATAAGAATCGGGCGTGAAAGGGATTTTGATCGTGTGATAGAGAAAGAAAGAGAGAGAGAGAAAGAGGAAAAGTGCGAGAGAATGCGGAGGAATGATTGTAGATTCGGAAAGTCACTTAGCCAGCAGACTGCTGTTCATAGTGCCCTGTTATAGTGGGTTCCCTAGGCAGAGTGGCAGAGACGCGGTTAAAATAAAATAAAAAAAAGGAAAGACAGAACGGAAGTGTGTAAAAGTCAAGTGGGAAGGAAAAGGGAGGGATAAGTGCAAGATACCAGCGCAACTAGTCTCACATTCTACAATCGAAATGCATCTCTGGATGCAAATGCATGTGCGATACCTGTACAGGTCCCGATATGTCGCGGAAGAACATTGTAAATCGCGCATCGATACAACGATGAAACGACGGATTGTTTATTGTAAGCGACATCGAGCACTATTTTTGTCGAGTTTCTCATCGTCATATCTCGATGAAGGACACGACAATTCATTCATTTGCGAGTCAATATCCCTTAAAGGGCTCCTAAATAGCGGTGCGATATTGATTCCTGCAACGTTTTGTATCCTCGCCATGTGCAAAGAAAAAGAAAGCGATTATCGTTAAGAAACGACGACGGTCGTCACGTTGATGCAGTCGAACGCTGTTGGATTCCTAGCGTGATTCTTCGTGGTTGTTTCGAGTCCTTACAGTGCGCATAATTAAAACCGACATAGACGAGATGGACCGCTCGTACGACCTGGTCGAGACCTACGATCGTTCTTCAGATTCTCGTCCAACTTGAGGTTCCGGGTCCCCCGTGGAGAACTTTAAAACGTGACCGGATACCGAAGGAGAGAGAGAGAGAGAGAGAGAGAGAGAGAGAGATATGCGGAAGTGCAAAAAAAATGAGAAATTGTCCGGAAACGAGGCACTCCGCCCTCTGCCCACGGGACCCTAATCTATTTTTCAGAATACGCTATTGTGATTATTACTATATAACAATTTAAAAAATTAAAACGACAAAAATATATATACCTTGTATCATTGTTTATTATACGATTCCGACGATTATATTATTTATAATGTTAATAATCTATATTAACGATAATTAACGCATTATACCATTATTATATTTAGTACTATTATATAGAGAGCGAGGCTGCTGCTATATTAATGAATTAAGTACTAAAGGATTAAGTAATTCTCTCATCCTTTTTTTAGACTTTATATATAAATATACAAACATGACTAAAAAAAAAAAAGAAGAAAACACATACCTCTCACGTTACTGCGTTCGCATCGACGATTTACATAGATTTCATTTCCGACATTCAATCACTTTACTTTTCTAGGCGCTACTCAGTCGACGTTTTTGCTTTCGTTGAATCTATTTGCATTCGATGACTACGTTATTTTATATATCATAATAGGTATAGACTGTACCATGAAATATTAAGTAAAAATAAATTTGATTAGGTAATATATGCCACTTCTTTCTCTACTATTCGCAAAAATCCTCTTTCCACGATATTTTTTTTCTCATTGAACGTTTCTTACGTAAGTACAAGAAAAAAATGATGAAAATCGATCTCTTTCAGATTTTAGATTTCTTATTTTTATTTAGTAGAATGAATCTAATGCGCAATTTGTATAATATTATTTTATAACAAAAATAAAAATTGTTTACGTTTTTTAAATAAATTATAAAAAACAGGTATGTTAAATTTTTAGATATTTAGAAGTTTGGAAGTTAAAACGAAGAAGAAATCTTATATACTATTCCCTATTTATATAATGTTTAATGTGGGATAAGGATATTCTGAAGTAGATCAGGATAATCTGGTGATACATACACATTATATATAAGTATTTTTTTTTTCATCTTTATTTAATATCGTAGCACATACTATTCCAAAAATTCATAAGTACGATGTATTGTGTCGCTATAGATAAAAAAGTACAAATATTTACAAAATACTGTAAAAATGAAATCGATTTGGAACGCTTAAGGATAAGAACGTCATTCAAATGAGCTTTTCGTACGCTGTTCATTCTGTCATCGTATATGACTAGACACATTGGACATAATTGGTAGTTTTTATCAAACTCATCGGCACAGCTAATCGCTGTAGCTTGCTTGTCTTTCGTTATGGCAGTGATGGTCGTTCACGATGAAGAGAATATCTGAGCGAATGATATGAGCACACAGGACTTGGATAATTGGCCTTAACTTTACGTACTCGTAGTACGAGCTAGATCGCTGCAAGGTATATTCCTAGCATAGCTAATATGTTACAAGCACTGATAGAGATCGTACTTAAATATGAGTATTTTACCCAGAGAATATCTCTTGTATATACTTGATTATTTTTCATTCAGAACGTGTGATAAAAATTATTGTTCGATGTAAAAATGCTGAATTATTTTAATTGTAGAAATTTTTAAATACGTTGTCTTTTCGATAAACTATTTCTATCAGCTTTCTATCCAAATATTTTTTAATTCTTCCTACATGTTCATCGCGAATTTTGTTGATCAAATCAAATCTAAAAAAGCACACAACTACAAAGCACAATACTACTTACTTTAAGTACGCTCACCATCACTGATCACAAGAATATTTTCTGATGTATATAGCAAACATTTAGGAAGCATAAAATTTGCTCGTAGAGACGCCACGAGTTCTGATAATTCGTTGATACTCGAAGGATTATTCGTGCTTTTACATATTCTTAATTGAGTATCCATGAAGACACGACGATGCTTTCATGCAAGTAACATGTCTTCGTGATTTGTTATGCTCGGTATGACGAGGTGCTTTAGATTTAGAGAACAATCGCGTATTTCTCATTGGCAGTGTTTCGTATATCTATATATGCTTATAGAGTACATCATATATTTATCAATATGCATAAAGCCGACGATTCGCTTAGAGTTGTTAAAAGTTTAATTTCTGAAAAAAATTTTTTCGAAAGAATTTTTAAACAGCTTGTCAAAAATGACATTTCATGTATATGCTTTTTTCATAATATTTTTTTCACAATCTAATTGTTACTTTTTGATGAAGATGATTTACTCTCTGCACATCTATTAAAAAGAAAAACATGTCATTGACATCGGAAAAGCTATGCCAATCGTTTTTTTTCTGTCAAAAACGATCTCATACATATCTCATCCGTACGTGAAACTATACGATAATCGTGATAATTTATCAATCGCATTTCCAATTGATAAACAAAGCCGAACTAATGCTACCACGTTTCTTCTGCATGACTCTATTTTAATTCTTCGACAAGTATTAGAATCGTAATACTAATAGTCGCACATCAATTCTTTCTCGTTACGAGCACTTCTGTCGCTGTCAATCCTGCACAATTAAAAGATGTTATCTTTATCGGTAATTTTTTTCCTTTGTACCCTTCAAATCTGGCTTTCGAACTATCGATCTAAGTCTTGTATAGAATGGAAGAAGCAATCATTATGCGTATCTCATAATCTCGTGTAAGTATTATTACAGCACAGTAGAAATAAATGCAGAAATATAGAGAACAATATGTTATACAACTTATCGTTAAAATACGAACGTTGCTTTTCGTTGTACAAATCGGATAATACGGAGGGTTGAATATATTTATATACTCGGTATATTCCTCTTATTGGACCGTTGCATTGTAGATTGTTCGCGCCATTTATCAAACCGTAATAAATCTCTTGGATGCACAAAAATATCGCGAGCGACAATTCGCCTGGTCTGATCGATTCTAAAATTTTTCGTATGTAAAAATAAGTTTTTTCGAATATCATTCTTTATATCTTGTATCGTTATCATTTCCTCGCGCGCTCCAGCATCCAGCCTCGTGATCCTTTCATTTCTCTGATGTACCAACACGACGAAATTTCTTCCGGCAATAAAAAAAATCATTCGGGGATTCGAATGATCGCATTATTAAGTAAAAATTAACACGATAATTCATGCTAGTCTTTCGCGCTTAAAGAGAACTTACGCGTATACCATCGGTATATACAAGGCCGTCTTGTTTTGTCAAATATGAATGGTCGATTACGTCCTTATCACACATAAATATATTTATATATATATATGTATATATATATATATATGTATATATTATAAATAATCCTTAAGTTTTATATGTGTGTCTTAACGGAGTAGCGCGTGTAAAAGTATGTAGGCGGAGATAAGATTTCCTTCGTCATTTGATATGGTCGTGATACTTTCTTAATATGCGTGTCGTTGCAATGCCGAGTCCGATCACTGACGTTTAATCGAGAACATCCGCGTAATCTCGAGCAAAATGTTCCCGCGTAATCAGCTCCCGACTACGGCTAACGATTAACATACCTTACGAGTATTCGATGTGTGGTGATCATATATCTATTAATTATATCGATACTGTATACTATATAAGTATTGCATTAATTGCGTAATAACGTGTAATGGGCCCATACAGATTCGTTACTTAGTCCGACGTTACAACAGTCAATGCAGCGGAGAGACGTTATTCGAAATAAATATTATTCCCTTATCGAGCTAGTGGTGTGGACATGATATAAAATACTGTAATATGAATAATTATTGTGGAACCAATGATTTTACTATATAATAATACCTAATACGTAATATATAATATCCGATACGTAATATATAATGTGGAAACGATAGAGAGAAGAGATCGAGATACCCCGTTCAAGAATCACGATATAAGACGGAGATTGCTCGATCATTGCGATTTCGCAAAACGTTCGTGTAACAAGGTAGCAAAATCTAAAAATGCTTAAAATACAATGATAATAAATGAATCTCTGCGCGAAGCCCTTTATGCGCAAGAGCTCCATATTATATATATATAAAATATATCAAAATTTCTCGTATAATAGAGAGATGCTACTCACTCGATCACATATGTAACGAAGTGTATCGTAAAATCGTACGAGATGTGCGAATTGAGTTCCGCGTTAGGTCTATACATCACGGTTCACGCGTATCGGACGTATCGACGACGTCATTGAAACACTTAATTCTCGCGCGTTCAATGATTAATGAGCAAGCATTTTCCATTTACAAAAGAAGGATGGACTCCCCCTACGATCCATTATACGTGTATATAATTGATACGAAGCGTTTAATATGAAAGCCGGTTAATTATTTTCGCGTGCGCGCGAAGCCGCGGCATTTTCGGGTTTCCTCTCCTCGCTCGGAATAGGTCACCGCCGCGTAAATCATCGGCGCTCATCAGCCTTACCTCTCAACATACAGCTCCGCACAATCATTACCCCTATTGCAGTATTTCGGATATTTAGAGCCTCGCTTCATAATTCAACAGCCATGTTTCCTGACTACAGGCAGCTGTCGACTACAATTTCTCCTATTTTCGAGACAACCTCGTCGAAGGTGAGTCTCTCGCGCGGATCGTTCGCCCAACATTGCGTTTGTAGTTCCTGAAGAGCCGGCGGTGCCGCTTTGTGCGGTTTCCATGTGAGTGATTGCGTCTTAAGTTGACTCAGCACGGACTCGTCGTTCATCTTGTTGAATGGCAATTCACCTTGGTGGAACATCTCCCAGACCAGGCAGGAGAACGAATACACGTCGCTCTTGGTGGAATATTCGTCTTCATACACGGCCTCGTAAGGCAACCATCTCAGCGGAATCACCTGGTTTCGATGCTTCGTGTATTCCTGTTGATACGGCTCTTTGGTCATGCACGGCAACGAGATTTTGATCGTCAGATTGCTGGCGATCAGGCAATTACGCGCGGCTATGTCTTTGTGGACTAGTCGGTTATCGGCTAGGTGTTTCAGGCCCTTTGCAGCCTGGTTCGACAGCGACAGTATCTGTGCCACAGACAACTGAGGCGCGCGCGGCGGTTTCGTTTCATGCGTCGGACTTGGATTACTGTCTTTTCGCGAGGCAATCAAGAACTGCTTCAGGTCACCCCAGTCAGTGTATTCAAGAATCATGTAATCGGGTTCCTCTTCTCGACACAGACCGATTAATTTCACGACATTCTCATGATTAAGCTTATGGAGAAGATCCAGTTGCCGTTTAAATTCTTGAAGAGAAGTTTCATCTTTAGTGTTTATGAGACTTTTGACCATAACCAAGGACTCCTTGTCGCCATCGATCTGATATTTCGTAGCGTAAATCTCGCCGAATTCACCTCGCCCAAGAGGTTTCAATTCTTTCAGATTGCTTCGCGAAGCGGCAATTTTGTCATAATTTGACTTGGATTTCTTAGACTGGTTACTACTTTGGCTCTGGGCTGTATCCGCGCCGTCACTCTTGTGAGAATCGCGATTCTCCTTCTTCTTACTCGTCGAATTAGCTTTATTACCGGTTTCTTTCAATTCCGTTTGTTCCTCCGGTATTTCACCATTCTCCATTTTGTCTAGAATTCAAAGATATGTACGTTATAACTTAAATATATGCATCATGTTGTTAAATTATTGCATATATGTGAATATTGTTGACCATACCTTCGGTTTGCTCTTGCAAGTATTGTTGCTTCCTGCGGCGACGTCGATAACGGCAATATAACATGAGACCAATGACGAGTACCATATACGCTGCGGCTGCACTAAGAGTGATTATTACCGTCTTCGTCATCATCGAACCATCATCGCTAACTTCCAAATCCATATCAGCTCTATAATTATCTCCAGCTGAAATTATAATTATTTTATCGTTATAAAAAATAGCTTGCTTTGACGTCTAATTAATTTAAAATAGCTCAATAATATTTTACAAATTGAAATGAATAATGTAATAGTTAAACAAAAAAATACCTTTCACAATTAATTGAACCTCCTCCCGCTTCAGCCCACCGCTATTCCCGGCAGTACATCCGTATTTTCCTTCATCACTAAGATATACTTCCTTAATGTACAAACTTCCGTTACTGAATACTTGGGAACGAGGATTATCTATATTATTCATACGGGAATCTCTATCCCACTGAATGGTCGGTTTGGGATCACCCTCGGCAGCACAATGTATCATTACTGGATATCCCTCGATTGCTTCTGTTGGATTTTGCGGTAGCATCGTGAACTTTGGTGCGACTACGGAAGACAATGTCCATGTTAATTTATCGTTCGTTCCACACACTCGCGATATAAGCACCGATACTTACTAACTACATCGATGGTAATGGTGTGATTGATGGATCCCTGAGTGTTACTCGCGATGCAAGTGTATCGACCCTTGTCCTCCATCAGAACGTTGTTGAAGTGCAGAGTGCCATTGATATCCTGCACGTGTTTGGGGAATTCCTCGTCCTCGCCCTCCTTGACCCACTTCACCGTGGGAGTCGTGGCACCCTGGGCCTTGCACGATACCTTCACCGTAGAACCGAATTCTAGGCGTTTATTGACAGGCTGGGGCGAGAACTTGAGCTTCTCCTCGACTGTGAGAACGGCCGGAGACGAAAACAGGGACGGGAATCCCGTGGTGAATACTTGACACATATAGTGTCCCCTATCGGAAAGATCAACAGTCTTGAAGTGCAATGTAACATTGCCGTGATTATCAGTCACGCGGTATCTAGTCGGCCCGCCCGATTCCCTTAGCTGCGTCCCGTCTTTCAACCAGTGCACATGCGTTACAGGCGGTTCCATGCCGGAGTAAGAACAAGTTAATGTCACGGAATCACCTTCCATCACGCTGAGCGATTCTGGGGAACTTTCGATATTCGGCGGGGCTAAAAATCAACGAAAATAAATATGTATAATTCTTTTGAATCCTTATATGATAAGAATTTTAATTAGATAAAATTGATTGGATCTTAAAAGAAGACATATTATATTTATTTATCTGTTTGCAGAATCATATAAGTTTACTGATACTCGACGGGGTTAAAATCAACGAAAATAAATATATATAATTCTTTTAAATCATTATATGATAAGAATTTTAATTAGATAATATTGATTGAATCTTAAAAGAAGACGTATTATATTTTTTTATCTATTCGTAGAATCATATAAGCTTACTGGATATCACTATTTGGACGGATATATCCGTTTCGCCAGCGAGATTCTCGGCCACACAAGTATAATTGCCGTCGTCCTTGCCCATTTCTGCCTTTGCGATGATGAGCGTGTTGTCTTGTACACGTACAGAGCCGGTGTCGCTTATTATATGTCCTGTGGGATCCTTCCAATAAACTTTAGGCGGCGGAACCCCTAGTGGTTCCAGACAACTTATTTGGAATTCTTGTTCCTCGCCAACAATTGCCAATTGAGTTGGACGTTTCGGTTCGAAGGCGGCCATTGAAAAGTTTAGTAAATCTGAAAATTTTATTTGTCTGGAAAATTCTGCTTAAACTTTCAAAAATAAAAAAAGAAATTAATAATTGTTTTACTCTAATTGTAAATTGCCATTTAAAAAACATGACTCGTATATAGTTCGATTAATATAAAATTTAAGAGTACATAGATTATATACATGCATATATATTCTAAATATATTAAATATTTATTGTTCTCTAAACACAACTTAGAAATATTTCGGCACGTACAGGCAATTTGTAATTCGACCGTGTAACTGACTGTAATCTCGTCCCTTGTTCCGTGGCAGGAGTAAAATCCCTGGTCCCTTTGATCGGCAGCGTGTATGATGAGAGTGCCGTTCTCGAGAATCGTCCGCTCCTCATCGGATTCCAGCGGACCGATTTCCTTGAAGAACCACTGCACCTCGTCGGCGTCCTCGAAGACGCAGTGTAACGTGGCCTGCTCGCCGCGCTTGGCAATCAGATTTCTCGGAACGACCTTGATGGTTGCAGTCTCATTTCCGGAAACGATTAACGGGTAACTTTCCGTCATCGGCGAGGAGCCCGCCTCGTTTTTGGCCAGACAAGTGTACATCCCGCTGTCCTCGGCGATCGCTCTATGTATATGCAGCTTCTTCTTCTTGATGTCGACGCGATCACTTCGTGCCACACTCACTGTATTTCTGTGAAACGAGCAACATTTTTATTAATTTTTTGCGTACGATAATTCTGATAAATTATACATATGTATATTTTGTCATTACACGACTAGTATCGTGGTGTTTAATTTATAATTTTATAACGCGCATGTACATTTCAATACTATTTTATTCTTTAAAAATGTCTACAAAAATTAGCATAATAAATTAATATTTTTTGACAGAAATCAGCTGATAACTGTCAAAAATATAACGCACAAGACGAATCGAGACAACATCGCAAAAAAAAGCAATAAAACTTTCGAGAATCGACTTATATGTCTTGGGAAAGGAAAAAATGCAAAATCTTTGTTTTCATAGTGCTTCCGACGTAATTAAACACCGAACGGGAGGAAACTCTCGACAAGCACACAAGGGGAGTGTCACTTTATAATTCACCGGTCCGGTTCCGTAAAGCGTCGGATGTCAGCTCTAACGTTAGAAACTTGGTACCTGTCCTTCGTATCCCGGTGGATTTTCCGACATTATTGCGCTTCCCTGGTCCTCGTTATCGCGCGGGATTCGCGCGGGTAAATAGACAAAGTTGGAGCAGGCCAAGAATAACTTACTTGAACCACTCGTATCTCATCTCGCCGGAACCGTCGACGTGACATCGAAGCTCGATCTCGCTGCCCACGCGGATCGCGGATGGCAATTTCGGCTGCTGCAGCTGCACGCTCGCCTCGCTGACCCCTGGAACAAGAAATCGATAGTGCCTCGATGACGCGATAATTACCAATTAATCAAGCAAACATTTATACCGCGTATTGTGCATACACGCTGTGTTTGTTGTGTGGTACGTTTGCGTTATACGACGGATATAGGTGGATAAACGAAATGAATTTTTAATCGAATGTTTTCCTCGAATCGAAACTTTAAACTGCCATTTTCAATCTCAATTTTCTGCCGTTTATGAACTCGAGAGAGGATTTCGATAGGTTTAATTTATATAAGAATTTAGTTTCTATACTTTATACTTAGAAAAAATAGACACTAAATGAACAATTTAAATTAAATACTTTTAAAAAGGACTAAATCTGACTGCACAAAATATCAAAATATTTAATGTTAGATTAAAAATTGAAATCAAAAAGGAAAAAAAGATTCGACTCGGGTTAGCAGCAACTATATTATTATATATTTCAATGTGTACCTTAATTATTACATAAAAAAATTAATATTAGAGACTGGTAAAAAGTGTTGTATATCACACATACTAATAACAATAATTATTGCCGATTATTATTCATGACACAACTTGCTGTTCGTATATAAGTACGCTGTAAGAGCACGTTTTTCGTGTAAATTCAACGCTATCATGTACACGTGATACAAGCTCGCGTGTGTGCGCTGATATAAAAAGAAATTATTTTTTATATGCGCTATTAATATCGCGGATATTAGATGCGGCGAATCTATAAGGCTAATAACTTGGAAATTATATGCGATATAATATATATATGTATATATATTGCGACTTGGTGCGTAATTATGCGCGATGCGTGCGGAGCAATTTTTTCCGCTGGCATTCCTCTTTGTACCATTCGGCAAAGAAAATCGAATTAGAACGGGACGACGGCAGTTATAGAAGGAGAGAGGCGTACGAAATAAACGAGCACCAATTTCTTCACGATGTTCGATGCCGTGGGGCCACTCAAGGAGGAAGGACGCATCGACGAATAAACCCGCCGTGGATATCGCCAGACTCGCTCTGGAATTCTAAAATGGAAAAGAAGCGCAGGACACAATGGGAAGGAAAGGCAATTCCCTTAAAGATAGGAGTCGGATCGGGAGATGGAGATATAGAGAGAGAAAGAGAAAGGATAGGAAGGTAAAGGAGATGAGGAAAAGTAGGAAAGGACGCTCGAGTCCTGAGAATGTCAGGTTGATTCCTTCTGTCGTCGTTCTCTCCGTTTTTGTAACCGGATCAAAACCCGCCGTCCTTCTGAAAATGTGCACTTTTCTCTCTCTCTCTCTCTTTCGACGAATTTAATCGAGTCAAATAAAACACCGACTAAAAGAGAGAGAATGTGCTCCCATTCTCTACTTGCGGCCGTTTGCCGCGAACATGTCGCATGCGAGCTCGTCAGAGATGCGTCTCTATATATTATTTGTGAAGGACAGAAGGGACCTTCGAAGGAAAAACCGAAGAGTTTTGGCCGGCTGCCCTTCGCGTCGGGTTCCTCTTTTTTTCTTATGTCTACATTGCGGCAGGAGAATGCTGAGGTTTCGAAAGTGTGGGGTGAATTCGTATCGATTCGGGAAGAACATTTAATCATACTAGCCATACTCCCTCTATTTATTCATAAGAAAAAAACTAAAATTATCTATTTTTTATTTATCTCATAGTTTGCATAAATAATCGTGAAAATTAAAAACTACGGTAATTAACGAAGGGATAATAATAATATTAGCGGGACACGATGAATCTATATACATTTAATCACACATACTAGCCATGTCCTCTATTTATTCATAAGAAAAACTACAATTTTTAATTTCTTATTTATATCGTAATTTGATATAAAAAATCGTGAAAATTAAAAACTACGGAAATTAGCGAGGGGGATAATAATAATAATAATAATAATATTAGCGGGACACGATGAATCACGATAACTCATCGATTGCAGCAGATGGATGAATAGTTGTCGAATCTACATATTCGAGAATCCTTAATGGAGGAGAAAGCAAAGTCAAGGCCCCTCCTCGATTCATCGAACTTTGAGGCGGGGATGTAACATCGGTTAGGGACGAAGGGTGCCGTTGTAATTCACAGGGCAACAGTTGCCGAAGACCGTGAGGACGATAAGGCTTCGTTCATTAATTTGATTCATTAGTCGACGGCGTGAAATTGATCGGTCGGGTGCCTATCCCTCGACGGGGTAAGATGAAACGTAATTACGCGTGTCTGGGGCCTCGTTAAAAATATGCCAATAGTTGGAAGAAAAACGCGGGTCGTTAGGGCGCGGAAGGGAAGAAAATCGCATTCGAACGACCCCGTTGCGTCGCAAATTGCGCGCGCGCGCGTCATCATGCATCGAAATCCGCGCGATTCCCGGAGCTTGAAAGCGTGTGATAATTTACTCGGATAGACTCATTACCGCGAACGTATAACGATTCGCGCTTCTACAAAGCGCGCCAACAATTTATTACCGCACGACGCGAAAGTCGAGCTCTATAACGGCAGCTTTTGATTTACGTCTTAATTTGCGGGCTTCGTTTTTATTAAATAAAATCTTATTCACATATCAGATCGCGAGTCTTTTTGATCCCTTGCATATTTATTTTAAAATCATCGCGTCCTCAGAAATTATCTGACTCTACTACTAATTGTTAATGTATCCGATGATATACGTCTCTATAATATCCTTTCCTTTGATCGATTTTATCTTTAAATTAAGAAGAGCAAGAAAGAATTTATATAATATCTGTCCATGCACATATCTATTATTTCACAAATAACGCTGCAGAAAAATCTTAAACTTATTCGCTAAAATTAACTAATATTTAAATTAATTAAATATGAAGAAGCAAATCCGATTATTTTGCTATAGTAAGCACATGCTCTGTCATTCATGAGGCGGCAACAATTCAGGGATTTTCCGAGATGGCATTAACACTTTTTGATGCCCTCAGCCCGATTCGATCTTTTTATCACCATCTATCGCGGCAAACTCCTGTCGTCGGCAGTTTTTTTTCTCTCGTGCCCTATCCCTTTTGCTCCCGACGCAAAGCGCTGCAAAGTGCAGACTCGGTGAGTACATGGAGAGACGCTTCGACGACGAGAGCGGGATCGAAATGAGTTTCGCGGTAATAACTTACACCGCGTTAATCAGTTTGCGGTGTGCTGTAAAACAATTATCTTTTTGCTGCGCCACGAGTCTATAAAACGTTAACGTATGCGCTCTTTTATAGACTCGTAAATCTAAACGCGCGAGACCCGCTAATACCCTATGTAAATCGATTGAGCTGTCAAATGTAAATGTTACTGGAAAGCTCATTTAAAGCTCGGACCGCCGAAATCGATTCGGTTCGTTTCGCTGCGCGTTTCGCGGTGTGACCAACGAACGTCATTCCCACGAGATGCGTTTTCAATGTCGCCGGTTCGTGGGAATGAACTTTGAAGTTGTCACGTGTCCACGTGACAGTCCCTCCCAGCTACCCGCAGTCTGATCATTGATCGTGGACCGTCTGGCTCGAATCCGTTGCGCGAAATTAGTGGCAAAAATTTCTGCGACTCTGTGTACTCACAGACGACACATGAATCCGGGAAGAGGCGGAGAGACCGTTTGATTGTTGTTGCCCTTTTCTCTCTTCTCCAATTTTACCCTATCCTCGGCGACGCGGCTCGTCCTCAAACGAGCGAACAGTTTAAAGAGGGTTCGAAAACGTGCTCTTCCAGCATCGAGGCTATTAAAGAGCATTAATTTCAAGGAGTCATCATCGAGCAAGCGGATTTAAGGGTGCCGACAGGACAAAGTTGTAAAAGAGATGCGAGAGGAAGACGGCCCAGACGTACCTAGACGAGGAGAAACGTTCCTCTTGGATTTGGAGGAAAAGTGGAAAGTTGAAGTCACGAGGAAAAGGGCTCGTTTGCGAATGACGAAAGTCTCACTTTACCTCTCGAAGGTCGAGACGAGATTTCGTCGGCCCACTTGAGCCATTTCTCTTACATTGTGGAACCATCCCTTTCGCTCTACTCTTCCACACGCTATATATCCTTTCACCCTCTCAATTTCTTCCTGGCTCCGTTTTCTCCCCTGCCGACTCTCTCTCTCTCTTTCCTTCCGTTTGTCGCCTCTCGTTGCTCCTGCGCTCCGCATCTCGGCGAGTCGTGTTTAAATGCACAAACGAAGCGACAGATCAAAGGAACCGCCGGCAGTGCGTGCACAACCACGAGAGCAAAGGTAGAACGAGAAAGAACGAGACAGATAGACGAGGCGAAGCGGGGATAGGCAACGTTTATTATTATCATCGTGGTCCCTCTCCCTCGTCCGCAGCATTGGAGTGTAGCCTCGCACAGTCGAGATTAACTTTCGTGTAAACAGGCCGTCGCCGCACCGCACCGGGTGCACGCACACGCGTGCTGCGACGCGTGCACCGCGCACGCCCGCATGTGCCCGACCCGTGTCTCCGATGGCAACCTTGGATCGAAGGTCGACCGTGGTATATCTTTGTCGGTACGATCCTTCCCGAGCGTCACCTGCGCCCGACATGTTCATCTCGCAAATCTAGATGCATCGTATATAGAATGAAATTAACAAATTACATATGACAATAATTAATATATGTAATATTTTCGACTGGAAACAATTTGTTTTCTGTGCGAGAGGAGTCATTTTGTTCTTTTCAGGCATGTGAATAAAGATCCTTTATCGCTGTTCATTATCGTGAGTAACCTTGGATCGAGATGAAACCGACCCTGATATCATCGATAATGACCCTTCTGCTTGTCTGCATTGCTCGCAATGTAGATTGGGATTTTAATTGCCCTCTACAGACAAGTATTTTGAAGCGGCACTCGAGCGTCGATTGCGGAATGGAATACATTGTATTACAGATTCTCAGACTTTACGAATATTGAAGAGAACAAAGACGAGAGACTGCTCTTGCATTAATTGGTGCACCAGATCAAGATCATATCTTGGCCTTCTTGAAGATGCACAAATATACCATGTAACCGTCTAAAT